TTCCTTGTGTTAAAAGTGGATATGAGCACAGAAAATGAGCCAACGTTTCTCCACCCCCTTATCGTAGAATTTCCTACAGAATGCGATAGTGTGACGTCGATACCTTATTTATTGCGACAACATAGCCAGAGAGACTAAAAGAAATGTCCACAACAAGTTGTTGGAAGTATACTCTTTCTGAAATAGAGAATATCATTTAGGTTGAACTCATCCATATAAAAACGTTCCATATGTTGCCTAGATGGTAACGAAGTGTTAAAGGCCTTCGCGGTTGGTAGTGACAGTAGAGACATAGTCAATTGAAAATTAAGCCGAGTGGTGCCATTTTCATTAATTTATATTAACTATGAACAGTTTTCCATGTCGCCCGTCTGTTTATTAAAATTTGACAAGATTTTACAGAGAATCGCTGTATATTTTTCCAAAAAATAATTGTTTGATCAAAATTTTTGGTGAATGTATTTTTCTGTTTTCAATATAACTGTTAATTTCAATGAATTAAATTTTAACAAAATAAATTGTGCCCCGTATTTTTATTGCAATTTCTCAACTTATTATTTCTTAAGTGACATTATATTATTATATTAGTGATCTGGGTTCGCGTTGCGGGGAACACGGTAAATCTTTGAGAACGCGGCGAACCATCGCTCTATTCTTCAATATACAATCAGCATATACAGTTTGCAGCAGTTGGAGAATAAGAATAAAATTCCAATTAAAATGTAACAACTATGACGAATTTTAATATTTCTTCTGTTAATTAGGAAATTTTTGTTTAAATTTTCATACGAGTAGTATTTTTTATTGTATATGAACAATAATTATTTTTTATGCGTTTTCCTCTCTTGTAAAATAAAATGAAATTTCTTTTTTTTTATTTAAACCTCCCGCACTTATCTGCTGGTGATTTTATGTTCGAAATCAAAAAATAGTACAATTAATTAAATTTTATCACTTTTTTGTGTATAGCATTTTGATGGCAATGAACAGAGCAGATTATTGTACTGCATATGTTAACAATCTTTAACTATGTGGAAAATTTACAATATATGCTTGAAGGTTTCAATTTGATTCTTCATCACATTATGAGCACATTATCATATCACAAACATTATTAAATTATTTTTACAATGTATAAGATCATAAAATTATTTTTGAGTTTTAAAGAAACAAAAAAAAATCAATCTACAAGTTTGAGGAAAAAAAAAAAATAAATAAAAGTCAAGAACAACAAGCGTCTTGGCGATTAAAATAATTTTAATAAAAAGTCAATAAAAGAAATATTTTTATAATTTTGTAGGTAAGTTGTTCATTTATACATGAACAATATTACATGCTGTGTCCTTTAATTTAATGGACATAAAAAAATGCATTTTTTTTTGTCTTTACTATTTTCAGTAATATTGTTATTAAAACAGAAAAATTAACAGAATTTGCGGGGGCAGCAATATCGTATATCACATCTCATATATGAATATTATTGAAAAACTCCAATAATCAAAAAATAAAAATCAAAAAATAAGAGAAATAGTAAAATATTTTAAGGCTATAGCAAAAACTTTATTTGGTTTAAGCAAAAAATTTTATTATAAATGATCTAAGAATTTTATTAATCGTGTTTTGAAGGAATTGTGAAAAAGTGCAGGCGTAAGCATATTAAATAAATAAAAATCTATTTAAATTCTAGAATAAAATTGTGTACAATAGGTAAAAGAGAAAAAAAATTAATTGATTCAATTATTTATTGTAAGAGAAAGGCCATCTACCAAATTGTAGATCTAGCGCTAACTTGACTTATTCTGCAATACAATGTTTAACAGCTAAATAAATCAAATTGACGTTAGATCGGTATTTTGGTGGACGCCCATAGGTGTTATAAAATGTTTAATGCTAAATTTAACTTTATTATAAATTTAAGAAAACTGAAACGAATTGTTTACATTTTATTTCTTAAATGATAAGGTATACATAATCTCAAACGGCCAGTTAAGATCCTACTTTGCAGATATAAGATCAGAAGAGTGCAGAAATTCTTGAAGTTCTCTTTGATTCCGTTTTCTCCAGGACTCAAATTAATATATTGAATTATTTTTTCAAAACATTCCCTAATGTTGGAGTTGCAACTTATATTTGTACAACCGGAGTAAGACGGCACCGCAACCGCGTATAAAAATCTACTCAGCCTTTCTGAGAGTACTGGACATACCCTACAAGACCCACTGGAAAGCCACTTCATGATGAACACTGTGACACCTGGAAGTTCGCAACTATGCCGCAATGAGAGCAAAGAATCCTCCCAGCATTTCCGTTCGCCTATATGACCGAAAGTATCACTCTCTTATAGAAGGTGTACTTGCAGTATAATTAGCAATCCAAAATCAGATTAAAAAAAAGAGCCTATGGGAAAAAGACTTCTTTTTTTTGCTTATGTATACAAGTAAGTACAAAATATCAGGTTGAAATGAAAGCACATTTGAAAGTTAATATATAAAACTAAATTTCAAATTTGCAATATGGCTTACTTTCAATTTATTATTCTTTATATTTGGTGCTGTAATAATAAGCTTCATAAAAAATTGTCACTCTATAACCATAATATTGTAATGATAATGAGCTTTTAAACAATAATTGTTTAATAAAAAAAAATATTTTCATTCTCAAATTACCTACAATTTAAATTTGGATTTTTTAATTTAGATAAAATTTTAATCTTAATATCCAATAATTGATTACAATTTATGTCTATATTATCGTAAATATATTTTATACTGGATTTTATCTATAATAATATTAACCTTTACACTTTTAACTATTTAAAAAAATTTTTTTAAATTGCTTATTATAAAAAATATAAAATTATATATTTACGGTATTTATAAATGAATAAAAATAAATATTTAAGTTTAATATACGTTAGTATGTAAGTAGGTACTCGTACGTATACAGAATATTGAAAGAAAGAATTTAATTGGATAAGAAATCGGATAAAATAATTTGAAGTTCAATGCGAATGTTTATGAGTATGACCTTGTATTGCAGGCTTAATCCATACATTATGAATATAAACGATTGTTCAAAGAAATGTGTGTGTGTTGTTAACAAAAGTATACAAGAATTACAACTATTTTTGGTAGTAAAATGAAAAATAAGTAATAATGCCTTATTATTATCTCATTTTGTAAAAATTGAAATTAGGTGACTTGTACGATTATAGTTGCTATACGGGGGACTTTCAATAAAATGAATCAGCACATTGGATTTTGAAATCTCGCCATTTCTTTGTTGAAACTAATCTCTTACGCAATGACCTCTTCTTTTTTTTATTTTTATAAAACATTATAAAATCTTAAATCGTGGGATCCCACCGGAAGATGAGTTGTTGGGGATGTTTTTGAGTAAATAAATCAAACACACAGCAGGTCCGAAAATGGAACGACGTACGGCCAGATAATTTTGGCCTAAGCTAAATCTGTCTCGTACATCAAATCTGGAATCGGTGTGATAGGGGTTATAACTGGGCACTGTCTGATTGGCGAACACATCAGGAGAATGGGACGCTTCGCTAACAACCCGTTAACGGAACGCTGCTGTAGAAGAGAAGACGGTGACTCCTCATTTGTGCCAGCTATGAAACCGGGAAGGCGAAGGTTCCTTGGGTTGCCCTTCTTTTTATGAGCTCCTCTATAAAGGCCTCGGTCTGAAGCTCATAATTTTTCTATAAAGAGCTGATTTAAGTGAGGGTGAGGATATCAAGATCCATCGGTATCACAACGGGCTATAAGTATTTAGCCGAATAAAGAGCCGAATAGTATGTTAGTTTTGAAATTCATAAAATTTTTTTCAAAAGAATTTATTGACTATATTATTCGATGATTATTGCCAGATAGAAATTTTTACAATCCAAAAATAATCATTTAATTTTGAACTTTAAAAATGAAAATTTTCTTTAAAATCATGGTGTATAACAATAGCATGCATTAATTTACTTTCATAGAAATTCATTAAAAGTTCTGTTATTTTCTGTTATTCATTCGAGATTAAGATACAATTTAGATTTTTTTTTTGTTGTGGTACAAATGACTTTTCTAATTTTATATTAAGATACATAATTGCGTCTTATTATCACTTATTTACGATCTGACATAAATCTATATAAGAATTTTTATTTTTTTGGAAAAATTAATGAGAAAAGTACCAAAATTCTTTTAATTTTATCCAAGCGTGTAGCTGTGCGCCAACAAATTTAATTTAGAAAATCTTAAAAACTGTTTAGTCATATTAATTTTATGTATGGAAGACAATGCAATTCATTGCTCATTTGGTAATCAGAAAGAGTAGTAAATAAGTGAAAGAATATTTGATTTTCTATAATGAAGAACATATTATTATAGAAAATGTGAAAAAATATTTGAGAAATGTGAATGAACGCGCAAGGTGTATTCTCATATGCCTCATAGGATCTACAAACTATACTGTTTATGTATGCATACATTAATAGTGCAAGTAAGAGCAAAACCACCTGATGCGATTATAGAAATGATTCGCCTGATGATGTATAAGATTAAGTTTTTGAGATATCAAACACATTTTGTTTTTTTTTCTCTATGTTTTTCTATTTTATAACATAAAATATGATTTCCGCTTTAAAGTAATAAAGTTAAAAAAAAAATCTAATACTTTTGTGTCTTTTCTCTTCTTCTCCTCTTTATCTATCTCTCTCGCTCACTCTTTCATATTGAATGAGATCAACGTATATAATATTAAAATTGATGGGCATTTATAAATCATATTCGAAAATGATACTGTAGATAAATTTCCTCTTTTGTTAATTTTTATAATAGAAAACAATAAAAAAAAAAAATATAAGATATTTATTTGATTATAAATTGCATTATAATGGGTGGTAAAATTTTTATATACACACATGTATATGCACTCTAGACATACATATACGTGTATCTACATAAGAATAATAAAATATTATAAATATTTTTACTTACATCGATTTTTAAGCGTTGGCTGCGGTACAGGTTTAAGTGGTCGCCCTTTTCTTATCGAATCCATAAGTTGTTCTCGTGGTGATGGATTACGTTTAACTGGTGGTGGGAGTTTTCGTTCTGATGCCTAAATATTATAAATTATATTATATAAAAAATTAAAATTTAAAATTTATTTTATTTTTTATGTATGGCGATAATTAAATTTTAATGAGCAGTATAAAAATAAAAATTAAATATTGCAAGGTCGTGTATATGAACATTAAAATTAAATTATAATTTGTATATAGGGTTTGAATTAATTATTATATATAACAAACTACATATATGATTTAATGATGACATCAGACTTGGTCTCACAGCAAATAATTGAAATTCTCCTATTCTATGTCACGTCAGATTTACTGTCAGATTTTTTAATTTTAGAAGTAAAATGGCGACAATTAAATTTTTGTGGAATTTTGCAAAATCGATCAGAATTTTGTCAAGTCTGAGCGCCATCAGCTAACGTTAACATTAATGACTGACAGAAATTTGACACAAATTTTGGAGAATTTCCGTTATCTTCAAATTTTTATTATTTTTCAATTGTATGTTCAGCTTTATATAACATTCAGCTTTGTAGGTATAACATGTAATCAATTTGAAAACTCAGCACTTGAACTTTGAGCTTTTTGCAAGTATTAAAATTTTCCATTTAATTTGCAGATGAAATTTTTTTAAAAATATGAAGTTGTAACCATAAAACTGTATTCGGATTTCCATATCAAATTTTAAGTTCGACTTAAATACATTGAAATTGAATGAAAAATATTTTCGGAAGTTTTGCAGAACAATTTTTTTATATTTGCAGATTTCCTGCATAGCATTTGTTAACTTAATTTCCTTTATTAAAGTTTTCATTATTTTTTGTTATACTCAAACTTTTAATTACTTATCTTAACATATTTCATTAAATTAATAAAAAAAATGTTATGTTTTTGCACATATGTGCATATACAAATACAAAAATTAAATAATTATATCTTACCTTTTTTAACGGAGGCCGTGACCTTATAAATTCTAATATAACAGCATGAGCATCTTTTTTAACTCGAGGCGGAATATCACCATTAACCATTACTTTCCTAAGATTGTATTTCCTATACAATGAATATAAAGAATAAAAATATTTAATTAAATACTAGCACATACCATTAGTACCTAACTTAAAATTTAAACAAATAATAAAAAGAATTCTTAAAACTGTTATACTAAATTTTTATAGTATATAGACTGGAGGAGCATTCAAATTCTTGTTGGCTTACTTAAGAAGTTTTGCTTAATAATTCAATCAAGTATTTTTTTCTTTTTTACTAAATTGCAATTTAAGTAAGTTAATTGTTATATACGCACGCACTAATTAATAACTAAAATTAAAAAATTAAATTACAAATAATTTGTACAGTAATTTTCACCGTACTACTGCAATATGAGATCAATTAATTTGTACAATTTTAATATAAAATGCAAATAACTTGTTCCGATTTTTAAGACTAATAATTTTCTTCTACATTATACGACAAATTTTAATAATCACACATAATATCTATAATTTTTTTTATTTTACTATACGCGATTATAAATAATATAGGTAATATTCAATGAAAGTGAAAATTTATTAAAAGAAAATTTTCTGTGAATTAAAAAATTGATTTATTAATTATAAGAAATGTTTATGGAATTAAATTTAATGAGTTTCAAGTCTAGTAGAGTAGATATACGCGTATAGGTAATAAGATTTAGACGCAACAGATATTTTTAATTGATGTGATTATTGCGCGTATTATAAGAAAAATAAATAATAATAATAATTAAAAAATTAGGTAGATAACTTTTATTTTCACTTAATTATACTGTAAAAAAAACTGGTCGAAAGTTTTAAAAAAGAAAGGCATAAGAATTACAAGTAACAAGTTGGATGTATGCAAATTTAAATTTTTCAATAATTAAGCTAAACAAAATGAATTTTCAATGTAAATTAAAACAAAAAAATCAGATGTGATCAGCAGATAACCGACCGCAATGTGCATTGCCTAGTTTAGTGAAAATGTTGCGGAAGATTATGAAAATGTCTTTTGAACACTTCCTTTCAATTTTAAGGAAGTTAGGAAGTTAATTTCGGTAACAACCAGAACTCAAATATTAAATTTCCAGAAATTCCATCAATCCGTTCCGTAGATATTCCCCAGTTCGGTTTCCGAGCCCCGACCTTTCCGAAATTAATAAATTGATTGTTTTAACATCGCGAATCTAAATATTAAATTTAAAGGAAATTTATTGATAATTTCTCTTTATATTTTGCGTATATAAAATCGTCGCGTAAAAAAGTTCAGTTCCTGAGGTCTGATATACCCCAAAAGTTGATCAGTCCGTGACATAGTCAAAACAAACTCCCATATACAATTTCATCATAATCGGTTCAGCCGAACTTCAGATACACACAGACACGACATCTCCCTAAAAATAGTTTACTTTCGTTTCCGTACTATACGGAGAAGTGCGTTCCCACCGAAAGCTTGACATCCTTGTATGAAATTTTCTTTTTTATCCATTTCTTAATACTAATTTTCCTCATAAGTTTATACTAAAAATTTGCGAATTTCAAAATCTTTTACGTGCAAAAAGTGAACTGAACGTAAAATTTGATCTACATGCTACATAAAATCTGCAAACTTTAAAATTCTGTTCCAAAATTTTTTAGTATGCATACTTACTTTGCTCTAATATCTTCCATTAAAATTTCATATGGTGTTAGTTCATATTCAACTGGTGTTCGTGTAACATCACGAAAATCTCTTCTCTTTAATCTTACACCTTGTCTTAATTCATCAACCACTTGCATCCAAAATCTTGCCTGCGTAATTAAAATACATAAAACCAAAAATTAATTAAATTGTTCTGAAAATTTTTTCCTATTCTTACAATATTATTGAAAATAAATTTAAAATAAAATTTAAATATTTTTTCAATTTGTTGTATTTGCAATTAAATAAAAATTTTTCATGCAATGCAAAATGTTAAATAAAATTTTTATTATATTTTTAATAAAACGGATTTTTTGAAATTATAACAAAAAAAATATCCATGGCAATTTTTTGTCTTAAAAATTTAAAAAAAAAAATATTTTATGACGTTTAATACAAAGTTTTGAAATATTTTGAAAATTTTTGGTCAGGGGTTTTCTCTTGAATTAAATTGTATTTCGGTATTTGGCTGGGATATTGTAATTAAAGGGATTAAAAATAGTATAACTAGGTTGCGAATGAAAAGGGTTCAAGATTTCAAAGAACACTTTAATGTTTTCGGGAATCGGGTTTTTTTGGCAGAAAGTGAAAAGTTAGATATTTTTTACCTATTAAGCAATTTAACACACTAATAGTAAGACGTTTTCCTAGAACATTATCAAATTGATAATCATATCAATCACTTTTAGCGCTCAGTGATTTTTCACATCACAATTAGTTTTTAGTGTAAAAATAGTTATACATAAATAAATGCAAAAAAAATCATAGATTGTAAATCACTTGCGTAAGCAACAAAATTTGAAGTTCATAATGTCAACGTCAAAAAGTATTGGAATTCAAAGACGCTTTCAAAGTGTAAATGGTGTTTTATGAAAGTGCCTAACAGTGAGCAAAATTCACTTACAGACTATCGAAATTTAGAGTTGATAAATTTCATTTTGCACTTTCACTTTGAATAGAGCATGCTTGAATAATTGGAGTTGAAATAAAGAATCAATAAATTACAAAATTCCGTTAGTATTTCATCTCTGAAAGTAAATTTTTACATACCTACATATATATAAATTGTGAAATTATTTTAAAAAATATGATATTGAAGTTGAACCATGCAAAAATATTGCCAACTAAAAAAAAATAATTCACAAAAAAAAAAAATAGGGAAATTACAATTATTTTCCTACTTCTATGAAATTTATTTGCAAAATATAAAGTGCATATATGAAAAAAAAGCATTCAATATCAAAAAATAATTTATAAATAATTAAAAATCAAAATTGAATTGATTAAAAAAGATTGAAATTGAAAAAAAAAAGAAAGGAAATTGAAACATACTTGCACATGTTTCCAAACTCTTTGCTCTTCAGTTTCCTATATATTAAATTTTTTCATACATTTATACACAATCGTACAGACAGCAAGAATATTAAAAGATTGTTTAATTAAGAATTCAATTTTATAATAAAAAAAAATATTCATATTTTATCAAAGAATATTAAAAATATTAAAAATTAATTGTGAATTGAAAAATAATAATGAATCTTGTAAATTTGGAAAACAATGGAGCATTTTTTCTTAAATATTTTTAAAGTAGTTTTCGAAAATCGATTCGGAACAGGACTGATTTTATAGTTTTACCAAAGTTCGTATTCACTCTACTACTCTTAATTCGATTGTAAAGTTCAAGCCCAAGAAGACTATTATGTAACATGGTAAATTCTTGTCTTATCAACGAAATTTACCCAGAATACTTAAAAATGGGCGTAATTGTACCGACTCACAAAGGTTAGCCTACAAAACAGATTGTGGTAACGTCACAGGTATTGGTGAGAAAGTTATAAACAAGCGTATTCGAATTTTTGTTCACAATTATTGACAATTGGCTTTGACATAAATCAATACGGCAACAGCATTGCTTTAGGCAAGTACATTTCATAACTCAAAAACGAAATTTTAGAAATGGTCTCTTTTATGTCAAGGCTATTGTAATTAGACCAATTCAAACAATCGGTACTATGTAGCTGCCATGCGACTCAAAACGATTATAGTACAAATAAAACCGTAGCTGCATGAAATTTGGCAGTCGTCTGCCCAATCACATGCTCAGATAATTTTTTTTTTCTCTCTTCAAAAATAACAATGATTTTTTTTAATGTTACTAACTTCTATATTTTGAATTCAGTGAATTCGATATAATTTTATCGAAGAATGTCAAATAAGTATGCAATAACATAAGTGCATAAATATTTGAACTTTCCAATGAAATATTGAACGAACAAATACGAATAAAAATAGAAATGAAGTTGATATCTACTAAAAATAGGCAGAAATATATGTATGTATGTAAGTGTGTTTTTTCACATTAATAATCTCAATAAATTCATAAAATAAATTATATCAATATATAGAAAATATTAGATCACGCATGATCTGAGTTCAATAATTTTTTCTATAACAATAGCAAAATAATTTCAATCGCGTTATTTAAAAAGCATGTTTGTGTAAAAAATTACTAAAATATTTCGTATTTAAGGCGCCCGTAATTTTAATGAAGTTCATTAAACGACTATTTTTATACCATTATAATTATGTGCATTTAATGAATTTTTCAAACTCTTTATTAACCTTTTATAATATTTGGAATATTTCTAATAAATTTCTGTAGAAAAAATGTACTAATTAATTATATTACAACTGTCGGTATGATAAATTGACTCTGTTAATGAATTTTTATTTGTTCATATGTCTACAGTCTACATTATTTTTGTATAACACGAAATTTATGAAGGTAGAGCGAGATCCAGATATTAGTCTTAGTAAGAGAGAACTGATATGCTGAGATCACCCACAATATACTCAGTCAACACTTCCATTCTCTTCTCATTCTGGAGAGGCCACATAGCTCTACGCAGATATTGCACGTAAGATCAAAAATTTTTAAAGAAAATAGAAAAATTGTTATACAGAGACCCAGAATTGCACTTTAAAATTTTGTTTGAAAATTTAGTCTGCAAATACTATCCATTGGTCCCTTGCTAAAGTGAGATATGCTTTTTTGTTAAACTTTGTAGTTTTATTGGAATCTTTCAATATCAAATCGCGCGTTTATTTTTTTTTAAATATTTATTTAATGGTATGTGGTAGAATGGCATTTTTTTTTCATTGAAATTATTTGAATTGTTTTTGTTTTTATATTCTCTTATACCATTGAAAATATTCATTTTGTCAAGCTGTACTTTATTAGAGTGATAAGGTATTTTATTGGCATCATAATTCAATTGTTACAATAAACATGTCATTTTTCCAATGAAAATTGTGCAACAATAATGCAAAAATTTTTATTGCGCTCAAGTAGGTGGTTCAATCATTGGAAAATTTGTAAATTAGGTCCAAATTTTGATTTTAGAACATATACTCCGTTTATATGTCCATATTTTATGTCCATGTAAACGTTACTTAGCTTGAAGTCGGCTTCGCACTCAAGTCAATCAAAAACATTTTGCTTACTTGACTTGACATGTAATAGTTAAACATAACTTTCTGGCTTTTAAATTGACATAGTAAAAACGTTTCTTGAGTTTTAAGACGAGTTGAAGTCAAGTACGCATGCTGCCATATAAACAAGATAATAGATTTCTTTATATCAACATAGTTTTATGTGCTAAGGAAATTTGACATCAATTATTGAGAAAATATATGACAGATTCTTTCAATAGTCAAACGTTATTTTGGCTTAAACGTCAGTTTGACAATTCTCTCAGAGCCTTTGCTTTTTTTTATATAAGTAATTTTTTTTTTTTTTTATGGTACAAAATTCTTTTTTTATGGTTTGTTCAAATTTTCAGTAATTGCAAACTGGCCATAAGAAAACGGAAAAGGCTGTCAAAATTCTCAAAAGGCGTAGAAAAAGTTTTGTGTACAAATAACGATAATAATCTTAAAATTTTAAATTGAATCTTCGACTGTTATCAATTTTATTATCGCATTTTAACGTAAGATGGTTGTAAAATGAACTGTCGTAGCATAATATCAAAGTCTATAAAATTTCTTGTTTGTTTCATTGACATTCAAAAACCGCAAACTAAAAGAATCAATAGGTTTAAGTAGCAGTTAAACTTTTGAACCTTAGTTGAATTGAAAAATATTTTATTTTACTTTAATTTTTTTCTTTTTAACGTTGAATGCAATAATTGTAATGCATTTATTTTTTCTGTATTGCATAAAAACGCCATTATATTCGTAAATCATCAGGTAAAATAATGACCACAATTCTTTCTCGTGAATCAATAATTTACCTGTTTAAAAACATTATTCAATTGCAAATTTTATATGAGTATGTATGTACATGCTTGCAGAGACAAGTAGATATTGGTAACTTGATCTTTAAATAGAAAAATGGATTTTTATTTAAAATTCAATTTTTTTTTTAAATTTCTTGCAAAAATATCTTTGAAAATTGAATAAACCTTAAAGAATAAATTGTAATGTTAAAATTAAGTGAAAATTTTTTGCATACATAGCTATTCAGAACTAAAACTTTGTGGATTCGTATAGCCATTCTATGTTCTTCAGTAAATTGTTTACATTTTTAATTTTAACCACAAAATAAGAAATATTTCTAGGATTGGTAAATTTTGCATTGTATACATAAAGTTTATGGCAAAACTGTTCTATATGAACCATAAAAAAGGAAAGGCAGGTGATTTATAAAATGTTCCAGGCTTCCATTTCTTAGATAATAAAATGGTTAATATGCAAATCGAATGTTGTATTTAAGGAAATATTAAAGAAAGCAATATAATTGCAAATTTTAGTAGATTCAACTGATTGGGATATTTTTTATTAGAGTCGAAGAATCAGAAGATTTTAAATTCACATTAAGCAAATTTCGATGGATACATCTAGATACTCGGAAGGGGATGAGTGACAAATAAATTTCTAAAAACTTATGAAAATCCAAATTTTAAGCAAAATCTGGGAATAATTTTTGAGACAGAAAAAAAACAAATCGTCAACCTTATGCGTTTACCATATTTGGGACGCAATTTGGAACTTTATAAGATAATTTTGACTTAGTGTTAATGGTGTGTGACAAGTATCACAAAATGCATAAGTACAAAATTTGAAGAATAATTAAAAAAATTGAGATATTTCATGCTATAGGAGAAAATTGTAGTAAGTCCATTTTCATTAATTTCAAACAAACAAAAATTTTAATAACTGAAATTATTATTTTTAGAGAGACAGTCTCATACCAGATATGAAGACTCACAAACCTATAGAGAGAATGCTTATATGAAATCGAATCATCATAATTGACTCTTCAAATATTAAAGGTGCTTTATGCAAGCATATAATTAGTAATGAAGTGAAATTTTAAAAGCTGATTATTTTAGTATGAATTGGGCAGGTACAATATTCGGACAATCAAATTTAGATTTCTCGTTTAAACTAAACAAGATTTTACGATATATGAACACGAATAATAATCAAATTATGCCCACGAGTAGAAAATTGTGTAATTTTGTATACATAAAGTATTATGTATACACAAAGTTAGAAATTTAAATAAAATAAAGTTGTGGGGCTAACTACTTGCTAATAGATGGAGTTTATATGCAATGGCAATATTTTATATTAATCTCTAGCCATCATAAGGTTAAAATATTTTATTTTAAAACTATTCAATGATTTTTTTAAATATTAACAGTTAATATGAAAAATTTGTATGTATAGTGCTATTTTATAGCTGTTGTAGCACATATTGTTATCCTGGGATAATAGCATAGATTTTATGCTTCACCTGTTATTTTCTGGTCAATAAATTCATTTTTTTTCATGTTTTATTGTATTAGTTTTTGTACATGCAGATATGTATATACTTATATGTGTGTGTTAATTCATTTATAAATATTAACTTTTGTTATGGATTGGGCTAGATCAGATATCTCCACCAATAACAATAATAATATTATAATTTGTATAAATGCAGGTAGCTGGCTGACAGCAGGAAATCAAATATTCTTTGTTGGAAATTGTTAGTATACAGTATATACAGTAGTTAAACAATTTTAAATAGTAAAGGCGGTTTATATAGAGCAAAAAAACAAAAAGAGGAAATGCAAAAAACTTGTTAATAAATTAATGAATATAATGTATAACAATTTTATTTATTCACGCTTGAAAATCATTGTTATTTTGTAATATAAATGTATGTATGTATTTCTATATTTTTACAATAGTATGTTTTAATTAGGTTACCAGGTGTATATTGCAAAAATTGAATGAGGATTAAGTTATTTTCAAATTGTATGTCGTTGTGAATTAAGAATGTCGTCGAAATTATTTCTAATCATAAATTTTTCAGATTTGATGACAAGTTGCAGAACTTTAACCACAGAAAATAGTTGAAAACAATTCAATATTAAAACAAGCACTTTATCTTCCAGGGGCCCTACTATATAATTCGATTTTCGTGAAACGACTATCGTATTCGGAAATATGGTAAGGTAGTACCAATTAATTTGTATAGTACAACCTTTCCATTTTTGTAAATAAGAAAAGCGTATCATGAAAATCGAATTACAGATACGAAAATCGAATTATGGATAGAAAAGAGAATACAGATGCAACTGAAATGAATGGGCACTAAAATGCTTCGTGTAACCATTTCTCGCCTTTCTCGTTTTTTTTTCGGACGTGATTGAAATTTTGTTAAATTTTTGAAACTTTGCATTGAATTCGAAGCTATATTGGAATTCGAGTCATACTTTATATTAATATCACTGATAAAAATTTGTTATTTACGAGAAAAATTTAATATTTTATTATCGTAAATTTATTCTCATGTTGACATATGTACAAGTACATGTACTTATCTAATATATCTTTTAAAAATTAATAAAATATTTTATGTGATTAAATATTAAAACTTGAGATATTATCAATAATATTATATAGGAAGTATGTAATTAAAAAGTGCTGATAACATGTATACATCTGAATAAATTAAGTAGGGTGAATATAAGCAAGTCTGATTTTAATGAGTGAGTATATTAAAATGGGTTCCAATTTTTGAAGTATAGCGGGTTAAAATAAATATTTTCACGTTCTCACTTTACATTTTCACCATCGACCTATATTTTCTGAAATTACACGAAGGCGTCTCTCTCAGCTTTATACTTAATTTTTGTTTTAATTAAATAACACTTTTATATTCAATGCTACGTTCTTATCTAAAATATATGCGTGTATCGTATGCCTAGTTTTAATAATAATTATAAATATATTCTAGAATTTAAGACGGTATTTCTTCAAAAACAAATTATATGTAACTTTTATCATTATGTAGATAAATTATGTGTGAATAATAAAAAAAAGTTCACTTGAAATGGCACGTCATACACAATTTCATATTGTACATACATAAACGGAAACAACGCGCGTATATAAATATGAACGTATATAACTGAAAAATAAATTTGAAAAGGAAAAATAAAAAAAAAATTTACCTTGAAAAGGCTTTTCATTTCATTTACGCACATAATGTGTTCAACATAATATTTATCACATATTTATGGTACCTTCTTTATACATATAGATGGCGCATATGTATATACAAACTCACGGCATATACCGACATCTATAATGAGAATAACTATAACACGTTGTGAATTGAATCGGCATTTTAATGTGGTTTTTTTTTACTCAAAGTAAAATTTTAATTTTTTTTTTTCGTATGGAAAATTTCATAAAATTAGAAAATAGAATCATTAAAAAAACAATAAGTAAAGAGTTGTACAACGAAAATAAAATAATAAACAGTAATGACAAATAACAACAAGAACAACAACAATCAACCATAAAGAACAATCATGTCGTTTTTTTTTGTTTTGTTTTCTCCACAAATGACTGATAATAGCTGTCAAAAATTATTGGAGAAACAACAGAACAAAAAAACAAGGAACCAACAAAAAAAAAAGTTAAGAGAGAGAAATAACTTCAATTTTTGATGGAAACGCTTTCATAAACATCAATTTGTTTAATGCGAATATATAAACACACTTTTGTTGACCTAAATGTTTTCAATTTTCAATTAGTAAAGATATTTTTTTTTTTACAAAATGACAGATAAGAAAGTAACAAATTGAATATGGAAAAGAAAAAAAAAAGGGTAAAGACAATCAAACAAAATTTTTAAATTCATGTTGTCATAATTTGTTATTTTTTTTCGTTATTATGTAAAATCAATAACTTACCCAATCATTAAAACCTAATTTATCTAGTTCTTGATTTGAGTCAACAGCGTCAGCTTTGATTCTAAGTGCTTGGGTATCTGGAAAATTTTAAAATATATTAGAGATAATAATTTTTTTTTTTTAAATAATTAAATTTGTTAATTGCATTTAATTGTAAATATTTGTAAAAAGGTACTTAAAATTGAATTACTGGAGAACATTTACAATAATTGTTATACTGCAAATACTGTGCAGTTATTGCCATAATAATCAACATTTAAAAATTATATTGTCAATAACTACTTCTATAATAATATTGCAAGAAAGTGATAAGATTTTTTTTTATTGTAATGGAATTTTTATCTAACAATGGCTGTCTCTTATAAATATTGGAACATAGAAATTCGATAAAGCTGAAGCTATTTAAACTAATTAATTATTGAAGTTTTCATTGATAATTTCACGACAAATGCGATTTAAATATAGAAATATTAAGTATGCTATTGAATTTAAATTAATCATATGGGTTGTTAAGGTGCAGAATAGTACGTCATATTAAAACGATCTACGCTCTCATTTCTCTCGTGAAGGTTCATCACATCTCTAAAAGTGGTAATCTTATTTTTTTTTGGTATTATTGCATTTCATTTCATTTCATTAAAATATTAAATGAAATTTTACGCCACTTTTTTTAAAGTATAAAATTTTCGTAAACCTCCGTACTAAAGTGGAAGGTGATGCAACTATTTCAAAGAGAGAAAAAAAGCTATGCAGAAAATATGGAAAATGAGAGAAATTAAAATTTTCATATAAAATATACTGCGCGCCCAGGTGCACATAAGATGAACCAATTAATTCACCTTTATTAAATAAATAAATTGCACAAACACGACCACACTTAACAAAGAAATTTTTCAAAATATTTAAGAATATTGTTTCAACATTTTAAATTGACGTTTTGGTAGGTTTATATTTTGACAATTTGTTATAACAATCATTTTAAAAAAAATCAACTCGTTCTTTCGATTTCTCCAAAAAATGAATAAAGTAAGAAAATTTAAATTGATTTCATTAAAATCTTTAATCATTTCACATATGTACCTCCATGAAAAACTTTTTGTAAAAATGTCCTTAAATCTTGAGCTTCAGTAGCAAAAGCACGACAAACAGCCTTATAATGATCTTCAGGTACAGATGGTTGAACTCTTGGTATACAAGCCTAAAATATAAAAATAATTTAATTTAAGTTTAAAATTTTTTAAATATATTTTTGGTAAAGGTTTCGACTGAAGTATTTAATGATTGAAAATTGAGAGAATGAAAACCATATTTTAAAATCTAATATTTTTTAGTTGGCTACCCAATGTCTAAGTCTCGGGATATAATTTACAAACATACATATTTATGTATGTTTTCGGGAACTTACAAATCTTTTTACGGCAGAAAGCAGTTAATAGTGTTATTATACTTTTTGAACGTAGTACGGTAATCTAAAGCATTTTTGGGAAATCTACTACCTCCAAATGAAAAGTGGGAGAAATAATTGACTTTACTAAGAGAATTTTATATTTTGAAGCAATTTTCACAAGCGGGGCTCAAAAACTGATACCCGATTCTGCCTGTAGTATATCTGACACAGATACTACAATAACATTGTACGAAAAGTATTGATAACATTGATATTTAATTCTAAATTTATTGACAAAAAATGAAAAGTTGAAAGGATAAACAGAAGGATGACTATAGTTTTCAAAATGCATGTAGGAATTACATCATAGTATAGTTGGATGAGAAGTTCAATAGGCGCAGTTTAATAATAAAACACTTATTATTAAAATTTATTTTAATTTCCGTTGAATACATGCAAAGTATAGGTGTATGAGAATTTGCATTACAGCATCATAAAGGGTACACTATTTATGAATATCAAGTGAATGTTTTAAAGTGTTTTCTTTTTTTTTTGGGGTTTTTTGATGCCTACAATTTTAGTGTTACGCACATTAAACTAAAAAATTATGGAAATAACTTTGTTAACCTTAATGCATAAAAAATGAAAGAAAAACGATTTTTTAATTTTTTTTTTGTAAATGATTAATGATATAAAAGAAACGCGATGCTCTTTATAGAAATCAATGCCAGTACAAGGAACGTATAACCGCAGAGCATATAATAAAACTTTTTTCTGTTGTTTTTTCTAGCTTCTTTGGATTTGAATTTTTTCTTTTTTTAAATAAATATTTTCTAATTTTTGCCTATTCACCTGGCCAAGTTTACAAAAAAGTTATATGATTTGATACGTTGTAATCAACAGAGTCGAGATGAATAAATGCTATTTAAATATACAATAAAAAGCATCAAAGCGAAAAATTGATATTAAATTAAACTTCAACAACAACATTTTTATTATCACCACCATCACCAGGCAACAACAAATAACTTGGATAATATTTCATTTCATGTATGATGATTTTATTTTATTATTAAACTTGAATTAATGAAATCATTTTTAAAATTTTATTAGAGACGAAGAATAAAACAAAAAAATGTATCGGATTTCCCGACTATTGAATAATTTCTAAGAAAGTTTATGTGTAAAATTCAAATGATACAAGCAACCATCATCGCAATCAGCTATAGAAAAACTGATTTGAACCTGGAGTTTGAAGCGCGACAACTTTGGCCTAATCTAAATTTGTGTTGCACCGCGGATCTGATGCCTCTTCTTCGGGGTTACTTTGGATCTGTGATTGGGACTATAAATAGGAACTGTTTGATCGTCAAGCATGTTAGGAGGATTGAATACCTCGACAACGATCTCTGCAGGAGCTGTTGTGATGAAAAGGAGGAGGAGATAATGGTTCATTTGCTGTGCTTATGTTCTGTGCGGAGGTTCCTTTGGTCGCATTTCTTCCTGTAAGTTACGGACCTGGCGAATGTGAACGCTAGGGATTTAAATCGGTTTATAAAGAACTCGGACTGGTTCACTTGGGGGTAAACTTGGGCCAACGGTATCATAGCGGTCTTACCTTGTCGAAGTCTACCCTTTGAAAACTGTGTCAACCTAGTCTGACCAAACTTTGGCTTTCTTGACTGACTTTCAAATTAAAGAGCCCATCAAAATACCTGTGATTGTGTTTTTGAAATGTAATGTACCTACCTACCAAGTTTTTTGTCGGACCCGATTTTGGAAAATCGGGATATAAATTTGTGCAAAAACGGTTTTTAACAAATTGTAATAGGTTCATTTAATAAAATTGAGAAAAAATTATTAATTTTTACTCAATTATAGTACTAAATTAGTACTGCTTAACGTTTGGTGCTACTAGTGTAAGTTTCATGATTCTAGTATAGTTTGGACTATATATCACAATAATCAGTGATTTTCATTTGGTAATTTTGATCTATATTATGACATCTTTTCCAAATGCTTATTTTGTTGTAAAAATTTTTCATATTTCAACTTTAATATTGTTACACATATATTTGACAAAAATCAATGTGCCAACTTCTAGTATGTAAAATAAAGAGTAACGGATGTAATAATTTCTTTCATCTTTTTAAAAATAGTGGAATAAAAAAGTTTTTCAATGATTTTGTGCATTGGATTCTGATTTTAATAGTAATGGAATATTAGTGATATGAATTTTATAATTTAATGTTAATGATATTTTTTGTTTGAAAAGTTTTATGCAAAAGAAATATGAAATAAAATGATTAAAATATGTGTTTGTATTCAGATGATGTTAAATTAATTGGAAAATAAAAGATCATTTGTAAATGAGAGGAAAAGAATTGAATGCCGAAAATGATTGGAATTGCTGCTATTGTAAATACAAAAAGTAAAAACTATTATAGGTTAAACCTAAACGATTTTAAATGTTTTAAGTGGATAAAATTATTAAATATTTTATAATTTAATAAAAATTTAAATGTAAATATATGTACAGTTAGAAATGATTTTTTTTAGAAATGATTAAGTAAAGTACCAATTGGCGGTGTCATTTTTTCAATTATATCGTGATATTTACGGAGGAATTTTCAATACCGTATAGTCTTTCGTGAATTTGTGTGTGTAGTTGCTTCATAAGAAAAATAAAATAAAGCTAACAAAGACAGCTTGCAAAATGAAGGCGAGGGGTGGATTTGAAAAATATTATAGATAACCAAACTGTAGAGAGAGTGGGCTTGCTTTAGGGTGGCGCTCGAATTTGTGCAACGACAATAGCCCTGTGCTCGAGGAGGAACGGTGCAATAATGAAAGAACTGCCTTAATGGAGCAGGGAGGATTTCAGTATTGCGGTAGGCATTTTAACGACTGGATTTTGGATGACCATTTCCCAGTTGTACCACTGCGAGTACCCACTCTGATGTGGTGGATGAGACACTTTTTGGGAGGATATTGATTTGATGGATTGGAGAACGGAGGTGCCTGCGGGTGATCTGCTGAGATTTGTCAAGAGACTTAAATGGTTTAAGCGGAGAGAAGTGTGTAGTGGAAGAATTTCGATAAGCCTTCTATTGGCCTAGTGTTGAGGATGCCGCCTCCCTTCTTTAACTAACTTATTAACTAACTTGCAAAGTACAGCAGAGAACGTCGAAAAAGAGAGAACAGGTCGAAAGAGTTGCCTTTTTGTTCTGATAGCCATCTACAATTTGATTTGTAAAAAACTTATTTCAAGTTACGTTTGTTTGTGCCGATGAAAACTCAATGTGTTATTAAAGAAGTAGGGATCTGAATAATTAAAATTATAAAATCAAAAGATTCTAATGAAATTTCAATTACGATAAAACATTAAAATCATTTAAACTAACAAAATATTTCGTAAAAAATCATTAATTTTTATATTTTACGAAAGTTTTTTTCTAATTTTAATTTCATTTTTTCATAAATAAAGTGCAATATGATAGCTAGAATTTAATCGTAGCAAGAAATTATATGTGTGCTCTCATAAAATTACTACTTTCGAATGCTAAATTTGTTAATAATGGTAGATTTTTATTATACTAACCAGTTTTCTATATTGAAATAAAATTGTTTTTTTTTTTTTTTTATTTGTATACATGTATAGTTATAATTAAATATTATCCGCAAGCTAATAGAATATATATATAAGATGCAATCAAAGAAAAATGTTTAATTTCGTTTTGAGAATAGTGACAAGATTGAATATTTTAAAAGCGAACAAAATGCAGAATCAATAACTATTATTTTATATAACATCTCTTTTCTATAACAACACGGAACCAGCAACAAGTATGTGAATAACTTGTTCATTTCAATCATTTTATCTTAATATAGTTAAAGGCGCAGAAAGTTACAATGAACTACAAAACTACATTTTGAATGTGTAATCGCGCAAAGCACATTGTGCTAGATTTTTTTTTTTTGTTTAAATGAAGAATAAACTTGCACATACGGAGAGCATAGTTCAAATGGATCTGTTGACTTACTGGTTTTTTTTTAGCCAACTAAAATACTAGAATTTTATTTATAGTTGATCGTGCTTAGCTTACATATACTATATAATAATTTTTTAATGAACAAAATGGTTAATGAATTTAAAAAAAAAAAATAATGATTTAAAAATCTCCATAATAATTTGTAAATTAATTTGTACATATAAAAGATTTGTATTACAGATTAGATTATTATCAGTGGCATTAATCGATCATCAAGTTCTTTAAAAATTAAATTAATTATTTTGAGTGAAAATCTAAGATTTAGCATTAAAGAATGCTAATGACGTTGTTCATCCATTAAAAATAATGCGAATTTCTCTGTGCTATGATGTGGGTTTTTCTTACACTTAGCGGCATACGTATATGAAGGTGTTAAGTAATGAATTTTGTTCTTGTGTCAATATCCGTGTGTACAGTAACAATTTCTTTTTTTTGTAAGTTTATAAGTGAAAACATAAAATTGTTGGCATAGAGATTCCAAATTGTTGGCAATTTAAGGAAGTTATTCGAAGGATGTAAATTTGAATGAACTATTCAACCTAAGTGAAAAGAATTTCATTCTAAAAATGTCTTTAAAGCTACTTTTACTTTCTTAGTTCCTCTAAAACTGTCCGTGTTTTTTGCACAATGCCGTTCCAGATATATTTTTATAGAAAATATTGTAAAAAAAAATTTCATATTACGAGAATGAGTTCTAACTGAAAAATGATTAAATAATAAAAACTTACCTCTATTATAAAATCTAAATCTTCACAATCTTCAGAATCTCTCTCAATACCCTCATCGTCAATTTCTGTAATGAAGACAAAATAAAAATTAATTATTATTAAATATTTTTTTTTAAATTTTAATTTTAGATTAAATAAAGAAATTAAAATGCTTAAAATATTTTCTAACTTATCCTAATTAAGGTTTTTAAATGAGGAAGCTAGTGGTAGAGGAGCAACAACACCTTTTATTGGGCCGGAGCTCTGCTTTGAGGTGAGGAGGGCAAAGATCCTGGGTGCCCTGAATGACCTGTGTCACTCCAAAAAAAAATTTGTCTCCCTTTGGAGAAGGGAACTGACCACAATTGATCTTTTAGATTTAAGGCTATTGGTGTGTGTACTCACTGCAAATTACCTCACGATGATCCATCCAAAAAGGATAAACAAGGCGGTGAATAAGATTTGTCGTATCTGACTGGAGGAGGACGAAACAATAACAGCTTATTGCGAGAACGCGAAGCGTTGACTCGCTTACAACTGAAATGTCTTGGGAGGAGCTTTGTGTCTCTGATGGAAGTCTCACGGCTTGAGGGGGCTGCTGTGTTGTAATTTGTTAGAGACCTAGGTATAGCGCTAATGTAGTTAGTGTCAACGTAAAAAGAGTTCTCCCCGACGTGGGGGAAGAAGAAAAAAAAGTTTTCAATAAAGCGAATTGACGAATCACATATTCTGCAAATTGCAGTGTTTTTAAATTCTCAGATGCACTTCTTTTGCACGCTATGGGTCTAGGGATAGACCAGAGTACAGCTGTCATTAAGTCTAATGACTTCCTCCACTAACCTTTATTAGTTTTATTTTAATTTATCAAACACATTAATGAAAGTTTACCGTTTATACAAGTGAGGGCAGTTTACACAATTCTTTTTGGCTCCTATATACAAATTTACGAGTACTTTGCCCATAATTTACTTTGTAGGAATCAAGTTTTCTTTTTTTGATTGTAATCATTTTCATATTGCACGAATTGACTTTTTTAAGCAAATTATGTCAAGATCATTAAAAAAATTACCGCAACTTTTTTTTTTGTATTGTTCTTCTATTCAAATTCTATTCAAAAATTTGTGCGTCTATATGATTAGCTTTAAAAACACCGCATTGTGTTAGTATGAGAATTTTTTTTTTTTTATTTCCAAAACTTGTAAAACTAATTTTAAAACATTTGAAAACCATAAATAATGAATTTAAATTGTCATAATTGTAATACAAAATGAAAATAAGTATGAATTGTCTTCACATTTTTTTTTTAATATTTTTATTAATTTACATATAAACACCAACTGTGCGAAAAAAATTAGGTTCAGGGTTAAAAATCTACACACAAAACAATTAAATTAAAAAAAAATCGACTGAAAATAATTTTCATCGTTAAAATGTTCAAAATATATGGAAACAAAGAAAAATTGAAAAATCAGTAAAGTCATAATTTAATTATTATTAATCAATACACTAGAAAATACAAAAAAAAAATAAATAAAATAAACCTATTTATTATCCGGTTACATTTTCAACAATTACCCATTTAAAATTAACGAACTTGGGATGTCGTTTTTTTCAATTGTCAGCTTTTCTTATTGTTTTTCCTATTTTTATGACTATGACTGTATATACCTTGTTTTTTATTACAAAACATTTATTTTTTTTTTGCTTTGCTTTTTTTTTTTTTATAAATCATGCCTTTTTTAGGTTAGTTTGACTTTATGTAAAACAATATACAAATTCTATGGCTCTCCCTCCAATATAAAAATTTATATGAGTTTGATTATTGTAACAACACCGATAATTTACAATAAATTGGGTGTATAAGCAAAAATATACAATTGCCGAACAGTGAGAGAAAAATTATAGTGTCAATGCGAATAAGGGGGGAAGTTCTAAAAATTTGACATATTAATTAAGTTTGAATTATAGTATAGAGCGCATACATTCGTTAAAATGTATATGCAAGCGATCATTCGAATTTTAATAAAAGTTCGTATTTAACGTTTGGATATCTACAATTTTAGGTAGACTCAAGGTGTACTCGTAAATGAGTTAATTAATATGTGGATAAGAATTTTAAAAATCAATCTTGCTATGTAACTGTTAATGGAGAACTTGTATAAAAGAATATAAAGTTTATGTATTATAAAGACAACAAATTGGAAAATATTTTGCATTCAGTAGATTTTCAAATAAGAACAACAAGAACAACAAATAAGAGAGAGCATAGTGGGTGTCTAAAAAAACCTAGAGGTATTCAAATAAAATTTTGTATAAACGCAACCAAACTCACCCATTCAGCAAATCTAACTAGGCATGGGAAAATTTTGCAATTTAATTATATATCCCATTACTTAGTTAAGAGTTTTATTCAATGATCTTTAAGTGGTTCGATATTAAAATCAATATAAGCATTATAAGATAAGGGATTAATAAAGAATAATGCATTGGTTTCTTTGAAGTATTGATCACATAAAATCATTCGAATCACGGCAACACTAATATGAACAATTGGATTATAAGGTATAGAGGGAAATTGTAAAATGAATTTGTAAATTTTTTTTTGAAATATCAAGAAAACATGGTTTTTTTCGTCCCCTAATGACAGAGAAGAGAGGACAAGGAACGACTGCTGAAATGAATGTCTAAGGTCATTTCTTAGAAATTTATACATGACCTTAGACTAGACCTAATCTGACCTATTATTACCTTAGACCTAATTTATTTATTTAGGGGTTTTATATCTGGGTCTTAGGGCATTGGCTATAAAAAACTTGAAAACGATAAATAAAGTATATACAAAGAGCTTTGATGTTCTGACTGTATGACAACTCAGACTGTTAAAAATGTAGTTCAATTTACACTGCAGTAATATTTTTGGAGGGTTTGTGAAAAATATTTTTAATAAAATAATCTTTGAATTTCAAATTAAAAGCTTACCCAAATTTCAATGCGTCTTTGATCTAAGAATTTCAATAATTTTTTTCACGTGACTGTATGCAATTTTTTATGTGATTCTTTTCTATTGTATTGTTTTTTTTTGTAGCAAAGTTATGTTGACTAACAATTATTCAATGCGATAGCATAAAAAATCGCAAGATAAAAAAGAATGTTTAAATATAAAAATCATAAAATTTATAAAAAATAAATAAAAATGTTTTTTTTTTTTGTGATTGCATAATCATAAAAAATGAATGATGATGATTGCTCAAAAGTAAAACTGAATCAACGAAACACGAAAATGATGTTTAATTTTGAATTTATTAGATTGTATATTAAAATAAAAAAAAAAAAATACAGTATGTGCATATATGTATGTGTTGCTCGTTATAATTGTGGATGAGTAATAATACTGTAATATTATTAAAATGATTTTACACTGTATACGGACCGCCGCCTGGTATAAAATGTAAATAGTTTGTACAATTGTAGGCAGCAATTTTACATTTAAATTATTGTAAAGGTGATAGAGTGTTCCAGTTTTGTTGATTGTATTACAATGTGCTATTGGTTTTTGATCATTGATATGGAGATTGTTATTGTTAGATGTTTTAAAATTGATTGACACAATGACGGGCTTTGAAACACTGCAGCTCTAACATTTTTTCTTTTCATGATTTGAAATGAAATTTTTGTAATAATTAATATTACATTTCATAAAGTGACAACTCTTATTCCATATTCTGTGTTTAGTAATCAAAAATCAAATAATGAATAAATGTCAAAATAAAACTTCTAGTAGATTAAAAATAATTAAATACTTTATTTGTTCCGAAAAATTTGTGAAAGGATTGTAAAAAAATTTTTTGAAATGAAATTTTTGCAGTGAAATTCTCTTAGTTCTTTTAGAAAGTGTGTACTTAAACAAAAATACCATTTCCCATAAAGCATATTATTTTCAATAATTGAACATTATGGAATTCGTTTACAAAAAATTTGACCATTCTACTTCCGACTCATTGAATTTAGTTGAAAAAATCAACAAAAATTGTTTTTTTTTAATTTACGGAGTTTTCGTTTATTCAGTTCTAGATGAGTTCTAGCTTGTAGTACGTTCGAAAATCCACGCTATATACACTAAAAATATAGATCGTTAGGAAATTATTGGCTGTAATAAAGTGGGTTCAGAAATTCAATTTGCAATAAAGAAATGCTAGAAATGTAGCGCAAACCTCTAGTATAAATTTTGTCGCCGCCAATAATAAAAGATTAACGCTTTTTAACGCTGCGATTTAAAAAATTTTAGTTGTAATATAGAACTTTCAGCGCAGCTTGCAGCCACTTCAATATTTTGTTCAGGAAATAGAATTTTACTGTGTTGTCGATTTGACACACTGTACCTATATTAAAATATTTTTGTGTACAAGGTACATTTATTTAAGTATATTTATTGCACATAATATTTTATGTTATTATGATTGTGTGTACGTATATGATTATATTTTTGAGAAAAAATAAAACAAGAAAAAAACAACAACATTTTCTACTCTACTTAAAGTCACTTCTATTTAAAATTCTTAACTGTTTTTTAATATAACTTTGTTTTTTTTTTGTTTATTGTTTTAAAGAATAAAGCCGGTATATCACTCCAGGTGATTGACTCACCTGTGAGGCGTTTTCATTTTATTTATTTTTGTATTTTATTTTTGTTTTGCTTTTCTTTTGCCGGTTTTCGTTTTAAATTACTTATTTATCCAGTAAAGCGTATAAGAGGAGTAGCTTTTTATTCTGTAGTGTAGAGTGTAGAGTAATCATGTTGAAAACAATAAAATGGTATATAAGAAAAAAGTTAACAAGAGATGATACGAGTAATAGTTATAAAAGCTCTTTTTTTTTATTTGATATTATTGTAGGGTAGACCGAGTAGCAACTAAAGAGTGTTTTTTTTCATAAGAATTGCGGTAAATGAAAGGTGTGTAAGTTGCTTAAAGTTTACTTTTTGTTTTTGCTGTTGTTTTTTTATTTATATATTAAAGAATTTAAAATTGAACATTAATTCTTAATGTTTTGGCGTAACTAATAGTTTTAGATTGAAAAATTCAAAAGA